TCCATCATACTAGCACCGCTGACACTTGCACCACAGACCTCGGTAGACACCCCCACTGCCACCACACCAACATCGTCAGCACCTGCAATTACCACACACCAACAGCCAGCATATGTGACTATCACAGCCACACGGCTAGCAACTGCGACTCACACACCCAGACAATGATCATTTGTCACTACCACACTAATACTGCCACCAGCTACTCACGATGTGAAACATGCAGCAGTTTTTAACTGTGGGATGTGGTAATTACACATGTTTTTTTTATATATTTTGACATTAGCCCTTTATTTTTTTTTAATTTTTTAATTTTAAGAATTACTAATGATATGTTTTTTTTTAAGTTTTTCTCTCCCCATACAGGCCATCCATTCTATCCAAGACATTATTAAAAGCAATTTTGACCATCCCTACTTATCATGAAAGGAGGTCCATATCTTAGTTCATGATATGTGGTTTCTACTTTATCAATCAAACTTTTCCATTTGATTTAGCATAAATGATGGTCCTAACCACCTGAGGAGGAGGCCCACATCTGAAGCAACTTTGAGCACAAGGGGAGTGACTGTCTTCGTGATATATTTGAGGACATACGGAAGGCGGGTTAGCGCCTCTTGTGGCTCGGTGAGGATGTGTTTATCTCACTTCTTAGGTCCTGGATTCTCCAGAATACCATAAGAATAGGGAGTCGGCCAACTAGAATCGTCGCTCTTACTAAGGTCCGGTGGGGTTATGCCACATACATAACATAAGAGAGTACTAGTATGACTTAATTTCCATATTAAATTTTATTTTACATTAAATGTATGCTAAATATTACTTTACTCTGACAGTCTATATAGTTGGGATGGGAACCATCTTCTTTCAAGCTACACACTCACACTTATAAGCGACAGTCGGATTAGAGTTGGGTGGATAACAGATCTTAGGCGACCTAGGTAAAGAAACATATTAAAAAGTTTACAATTCATTGTAAACCCATCAAAGATAAATTGTACTTAGCCTAAAAAAATAAGGATGATTGCAAAAAATATAATTCATGATTATCAAAGATAAATTTTGTCACACATTGGTTCTGAAAGGTAGCACACCCTGTCAGTGTAGAGCATGATGAAAAAAAATTGAACATATGTTATTTTCTTAAAAGGAAAAGTGTATGCAAGTAATAGTAGAAAAAATAAGGATATGTAAATTTTATTCCATAAATAAGTATCCAATTGATACAACTGAAAGTAACAAAAATAAAAATAAGGAAATAGGCAGTTATAACTAGGAAAGAAAATACAATTAATATGAAACTAAGAAAATCAAAAGTACATTAAAGCTAGAAAGTCTCTAGTGGAGATGGTCTAACTAGTGGTTGAATAAAACTTATTATGTAAAAAAATATCAAAGAGTGAGTTTAACTGATAAAATAAGTAAATAATAGTTATTTATTAAAGCATAAAGGACAAGAAAAATGGGTCATATAGTATGGGCAACAAATATAGATGATTACTAAGCACATACATAACATTATAAGGTAACAAGAGAGTGGTAAACAAAGTGTGTTCAATTGTCTTAAGAAAACATGCAATCATTTTAAATTCAATCGAGACTTTTATTGTTCACTTTCCATTATATATATAGTTTCATTTAACAAATACTTTGAAATTGAAGGCCCATACCAACCAAAAGAAACTTGGTGATTTTTTTAGAATCATCATGTTGAGGGTCCTTCGTCTTGGCTAACCAATATCCAAAAGTGTTCCACCGACCTATCAAACACAATCATACAAAATTTTCACTGGTATAATATGTAAGCAAATATGTTATTTCATATAGGCTTGTGATATGAAATATGCAAGTTCATACAAATAAAATGCAAAAAAAGAAAATATCGTAATTGCAAGATTAACACAAATATGCAAGAAAATTTGGAGTAACAAATTAAGGTGCTTAGTTACTTGAATTCATTATGTGCACTGAATGGAACCTATAAGAAAATCAAGTAGTAATGGTATGGCTGGCAATCCATTTGAAATAGTTATGAATTTATTACAAATTACTCAGCATATATAGCTTGGTCCGCCAATTCTCTGTGGGTAGTACACTTGATGATATACAATCTCCACTGAATATCTTCTTATGGGCCATTAATTAGGTGGTAGATCTTTTGATCCTCATGTTGTCCAATCAAAGTGATAAATCTGACGATTCTAGCAAACTACATCTCATACACTCAAACAATATTTGGTTCTTGCTCAAGCTACCTTAAGTCATCATTAGCATGGAAAAGTTTACCATAAGAAAGTATTGCTTTTTGAACAGTCTCTCAAAATTTGCATAAGAAATTATTTTGTCAGATCTGAAAGTGATATGATGATGACCCTCCCACTAATCATCAGCTCCTTCATACAGTTATAATGTCACAATGTCCATCTTATGATTTCAGAACACTTTAAACCTCAAAACCTCTTCTCAATATTATGAAGCCATGTGTCGGACTTGATCGGGTCCTCCATTTCATTAAAGGTAGAAGGGTGCACCTTCAAAAATTGATTTATCACTCGATCCATCACACTTCTATTGTCCATCACTACTAGTTGGTTATCTTGAGCTTTCATGGTAATAATTAAAGGCACAAGTTAAGATTATTGCTATTTTGGTTGAGCGGATTTTTGCATTTTCTAAAGCGCGTGTGTGATTTGAGCTACAATACTAGCTTATGGTGCTTGAGTAATGTTCAATGTCACCATCTCCATGAGAGATATCATATTAATTTGTGGTTCTCCGATAGCTCCAACAAGTTGAACAAGATCAACATGATGATGTGGTTAAGGGAGTAAGAGAGCGAGGACCCCTCCAGATAGGTACTGCTTCTATAGTAGCTCTTGGGAGTTGTCTTGATCGAGTGGTTGCAGCACATATTCTCTTTGAATCCATTCTAAATAATTGAAGTTTATACAAAATCAAAATTGGTTAGATAACTAACTAACTGGAATCACTTATCCCCTACCCAGTCCTAAGAAGACAAGGGATGTGGAATGCAAAGACAAGGGATGCAAAGAAAAAGGACAACAATTACAAAATACAAGGAAAATTGAATATAAAATATAAGCTCTAATACACTATCACACTCCAAAACTGGAATGGAGTAAACCCTAACAACACAGGGCACGATGAAAAAAATTAAAAATACTTTATATTTTTAAAAGAAAAATGCGTATGCGAGTAATTACATAAATAAATACGAAAAACTAAATTTTATTCTAAAAATAAGAGTTTGATTGATACAACTAGAAGAAATAGAGATAATTGAAAGAAATTAAAATGAAAATAAGGAAGCAATTGCCCAGACCCGGAAAGGAAAATACAATAACCGATAAGAAACTAAAAAATATCAAAAGTAAATTAAAGCTGAAAAGTATGCTTCGATGGAGATAGTCCTGTGAGTGGTTGAATAGACCTATTATGCAAAAAATAATAGTGAGTGAGTTTGAGAAGCAAACCCAGTAAATAACAGTTATTTATTAAAACATAAATGATAAAAAAATTGGAATGCAGTATGAACGAGATATAGAGATGATTACTACATGCATATATAACAACATAAGGCAACAAGAAAGTGGTAAATAAAATGTGCTCAATTATTTTAAGAAAACATGCTATCATTTTAAGTTCAATTTTATCTTTTATTATTTAGTTTCTATATTTATATAGTTAATTTTAACAAATATTATAAAATCGAGAAAGTTAATACTAATATAAGGAAACCCGACAATTTTTTATAGAGTTTTCACTTTGCGGGTTCGTCAGCCCAACCAGGTAATATCCAAAAAAGTTCCACTATCACACACAAGCATACAAAATTTTTCGCAGGTATAATATGTAAAAAAATATTATTTCATGCATACTTGTGATATGATAAACGTAAAATTCATACAAGTATAGGAGAAGAAAATATCATAATTGAAGATTTAACTCGAATATGCAAGAAATTTTGCAGCAATAAATTAAACCAACTAGCTACTTCACTATGATCACTAAATAAAACTTATAAAAAATGAAGTGGTAAAGGAATGATTATCAATCAAATGAAATAGTTATGAATCAACTATAAATAACGAAGGTTAACACTCCTAACAAGTAAGGGTATATTTATCCTCTAATAAAAAACAATTACTTACCTCAAAATGAAAGCAAGCCACCAATTTTATTAATGTTTTTTCCTAATAAATCAAAATCCCCAAAATTTAATAATTATGAATTTAAATATATTAAGATTAATTATTTATTATGAAATTAAATATATTAAAATTAACTATTTATTAGGTTAGGTTTAGGAATTGACTTGAAATTAACACTTTTCTAACCTAATTATATTTTCAAGCAAATGATAAATCGAATTTATTTTAACTTAACGACAATATTACTTGAAAGAATGAGAAGTAGAAAGCAAATAGGAGTGAACTCACTTTAGGCCTCAGTCACTTTAAATATTCGACTACAAAGGAGGACAGATACTTGTGGAGTTATAAGACGAAGGGAGTGGCGACTGCCACTGCTTTGGAAAGTTATGAGAGGCTTGATCGGCTAAATCTAGTGGCAACAACAAGGGAAGGCAAGGGTGGGAAAGGGTTGAGTCTAGGGTTTGAGAGGACATAGCTTTTGATGGCTATGAATGGGAGGAGCAACAAACGAGAGAAAACAAATGCAACAATGTAGCATGAGAGAAAAAAAAAATGAGGGTTTCATGAAATTGATGCAACCCAAAAGCAAATAAAAGATGAAGAAAAATGAAATTAGGATCTTAAATATTTTCCTAGCCAGCCTTTAGCTCATGTGAATAACATCAGCTTTATGGCAGGTGCACCTAATGGTAAATATAGAGGAAGGTTATCAAATTCTTATAGGACCCCACATGGTCCTGCTTCCTTTTTAAGTTTGCTGGTCCATGTATATATATATATATATTTTTAATCTATTTTGTCTTATTTAAATCAAAACCCATCAAGTGTACTGCTCCTCTACCTTGCTTCTGAAGCAACCCATTGGATTCACCCTCACCTTCTCTCACTATCAATCTTCTCTCCTCACTATCAATCTTAAGCTTAAGAAGCAACCTCTGGATTCACCCTCATCATTCTCTCTCTCTCTCTCTCTATTTGCAGAGCAATTCTCTCATGCCAAAAAGAGTCATCATTCACAACTTCAGAACCTATATGTGAGCTCCTGCCAAACCTTCATGTCTCTCTCCTTTTTTTTCTTTTCCGTTCTTCTCTGTGTCTGTGGTTAGGTATTCATTAAGTAGTGGAAAGATTAAGAGGAAACCATTGATATACCATCATGGATGTGATGAAAGAAAGAAGAGCGGAATTACTCTTCTTTATTTCCAGATTTATATCCATGTGGTAGATCCTCAAGGTTTGTTGTTTCGTCAAAAAATTCTATTTTCTCCTTTCTCTTAATTGAAACCAAAAGTTATGATCTCTCTCTCTCTCTCTCTCTCTCTCTCTCTCTCTCTTAGAATCCTCAAGGTTAGTTTGTTAGTGTTTTAATAATTTATTTTATATAAATGGGCAGATTAGTTATATTGTTTTGTATAAATTAACAATTTCAGATCAATCAATTAAAATAATATATCTTTATAAAACATATAGATATATATTATTGATGACAGGAATATGGAATATGATATGTTTAATCGATCAGATTGTCCGAAACTCAATAGTAAGGCATATATAATAATTATGGAGAACATTAGAGAATATTTTATCTGATAATCAAAGAGAATTATGAATAAAAATAAAAAACTAAACCATTATGATTCATCTTCCCTTTGTCCCCCACTCCCTCCCTACCATTTAAGATCATAACTGTACATTAATAGTATGTTTTGATTGCAGTACAATGTTTTTGTTCTTGCAAGTCTGTACTGAAGTAATAACAGCCTCACAGTTTACAGCTATTGCAGTGTTGAAGTCTTTCTCTTTCTCTCTCTTCGCCTGCTGCTCCGCTTGTTCGAACGTGAACTTGAGGAGATATATTTGAAGGTGCAGTGTTTTTATACCTTTTACTTTTTTTCTTATGATATTAAATTAAAGTTGGTAGATCATTAAGAATTTAATATTCTACATGTTTCTACTTTTGGCTTAATCTCATATATGCTCCAGAGTTTTCCTTTCTCTTATCTTCCATGTATGTTATTCTTTCCAATTCTAGGAAGTCTCTTCTCTTCCCTTACACCAAGATCTTGCAGTAAAAGTTATTGTTTTCAAGAGAATTTTGCAGCCATTTTTGTAACTTCAGAATATTTTTCATTAATTGCTTGTTCATCTGGCATTCACTAGTTTCTTATATTTTTTATCTTTTGATTTATCTTTTGATTTTTTTTTTTTTGGTTTTTTTGGTAAGTAGCAGCTTATCTTTGTTCATTTAACATTGAGATTTGGTATGTTCTTACATAAATTGCTTTTAATGTCGAAATGCATGCATTCAAAAGAAATATATAAGCATATATGGTAAGTGATTATTTATAAAAACTAGTATGAGAGATTACTTATCTTAATCTATGTTCAAACTTCCATATACATCTGACGGATTTATTATTAAAATGAAGCGAACTTGAGATGATATTCTTCAGGATGATTCGGTAAATTAAGGAAGAGACAAGCTTCTTCCACATGTGTAGAGAAAATGAGCAGAAGCCACATAGTTTCTTCAAGCAGCTCAGCCATCCTCATCGATGCCAAGCTTGAAGAGCATCAACTGAGAGGATCTAAACACTGCCCGAGTTGCGGCCACAAGCTCGAAAGCAAACCAGTAAGAATAAATTTACATAGAATCTGATACTCCTTCAAATATATATATATATCAAAAATATATTTATTTTGTTTTTTTATTATTATTATTGTTTTGGTAATATTAGGATTGGTTTGGGCTACCAGCTGGGGTTAAATTCGATCCCACGGATCAAGAGCTCATTGAGCACTTAGAGGCAAAGGTTTCTGTTCAAGGATTGATCAGATCTCATCCTCTTATAGATGAGTTCATACCAACAATTGAAGGTGAAGATGGCATATGTTACACACATCCTGAGAAGCTCCCAGGTTAAATTTTTATTATTATTATTATTATTATCATAAAACACGTTACAACATCATTATAAATTTCATGTAATTTAGTTTGATTTGTATCAAAAAGTTAATTCAGATTGGAATAAATTCCATTCCTTTTCATAAAGCACATAACACAATGCTAAAGATGCTTAATCACCTAATCTTCTGTAACTGTTTTATTTCCTAATATTTTTATATCATATTCCTTAAATATATTTATATTCCATTCATTTCAAAATTAAATCTTCCTCTTCAATTTTTTTTAATAAGGTGTGACAAGGGATGGACTGAGCAAGCACTTCTTCCACCGGCCATCGAAGGCATACACAACGGGGACAAGAAAGAGGAGAAAAATACAAACCGAAACCGATATCCGGCGAGGGGAAACGCGGTGGCACAAAACGGGAAAGACCAGAGCTGTGATGGCTAACGGAAGGCAGAAAGGATGCAAGAAGATACTGGTGCTGTACACCAACTTCGGGAAGCATAGGAAGCCGGAGAAAACGAACTGGGTGATGCACCAGTATCACCTTGGTGAGATGGAGGAGGAGAAAGAAGGGGAGCTGGTGGTGTCCAAGATATTCTATCAGACTCAGCCGAGGCAGTGTGGGACTGTTGGTGCAGGAGAGACAATTGGGATTTTGAACTGTTCTTCATCGAAGCAAGCAGTTGATGGGGCTGGTGTGGTTGGAGTGTATGGTGGTGTGGAGCAGTTGCAGAAGGAGGAGATGAGTCGGGATGTTGAGTTCAGTTTTGATCCGTTTAGGAAGGGATTTGATGAGGTGAGGTGCAGCTCAGAAGTTTTTTTTTTTGTATGGAATTTTGATTATGATTAGTTTTGAAGTTGGTTGTTTTATTCAATTTGAGATAGTTTGGTAGATGAGAATTATTAATTTTTTTAAAATAAATCTTATTAATTTTGAGATGTTTAATTATGAGTTAAAAAATAAAAATATAAAAAAAAATTATTATGAACTTCCAAACATGCTCTCAATAAGATAATTAATCAAAGATATTCACTTCTGTCATTCTCCTTTTTCTTATTCATTTGACTGACAAATTTTGTTCTATCATATTTGAAGTTGAAGGTCATGTTAAGAAGATATATACTTTCCCACAATATATTAGTTTGTAGTTAATTTTAACAAATAATGGCATCTTCAATTTTTTTTCTTCTTTTATCTACTTTACTTATTCCTCAAGTCAATACTAATAATAGGAAAACAAACAAGTGCATAGCATAATGAGATACCGTCTCTTTTCTATTAATAATATGTTGACCTTCATAATTTTAGTGAATAAAACATTACTCCCAGAAAAAGTAATCAACACTGTTATTTTTCTGGGAGGAATGTATATTATTATAGTGCTTTAAATGTATGCTTGATGAGTAATCAACACTTTAAAAATGTACATTACTCTCAAAAAAATAAAAGTGTTGATAATTTTTTTTCTGGTAGTAATGTTTTATCACTTAATTTTTGAATATTGGTCAACATATTATTAATAGGAAAGTGATTGTGTCTTATTTGTTTTCCTATTTATAATATTGTCTTGAGAAATAAGTAAAGTAGATAAAGGAGCCATTATTTGTTAAAATTAATTATATTCATGCAAACTACTATATTGTGGGAAATTATATATTTTCTTAACAATAGCTTCAACTTCAAACATAAGAGAACAAAATTTGTCAGTCGAATGACATAGAGAAGGGTGATTAACTAGAGTGAATATCTTTGCTTAACTATCGTATTGAGAGTATGTTTGGAAGCTCATAATTATTTTTTTAATATTTTTTTTAATTTCAAAATTATTTATTTAATGCAACAAGCTTGCTACCTAGGCAATTAATTCATCATTAATATTTTGTCACAGAATTTTAAAATTTAAAAATCTCAAGAGACATTCATTGCTGACTTTTTTATGAACATTAAACAAATTTTCATATCTGATTATATCCATATAAAGCTATTTACACCAAAAAAAGCTTCCTCCTTTTAAAGCATATTGTTGTAGTCAGTTGAATCTGAATTGATGGTTTCTTACAGGAACTAAGAGAGAGAAAAATACTTGAATGCATAGAGAGAGGAGAGAGAGGTATTATGAGCTGAAAGTATTTACATGTTTATTTTCTCATGAACAGGTAGGCTTAGGAGAGAAAGCATCAAACTGCTTGTCAGAAGCATCAATAAGCAGAGAGGAAGGTGCATTCCACATAAACAGATCTACTAACTCCATCTCAGCCATTATCTCTCCAGCTTCTACAATCCAACATGCATCCATGATTCTTGAAGATCCATATCATGTCTCAAGACTTCTCTTCCAGTCAGATAAGTTTCAGGTATATATTAATATTCTTTAGTTTAACTTTATGAGTTTGATAAATAATATCCATTAAGTTAATAATGATTAAGAGTTTATGAGTGTATAAATGGTTTGATACTATCAAATGTTTATAATGGGGTAGGAAATTAAGGAAAAAAGACATAGACTATAAAATAACATAGAACGCTCTTGTTATGTTTGAGATTGATTACAAAAAGATTTATTAAGGCACTAAGTATGATTTTGAACAAAAAAACAATTTTGATGCATTTATGAAAAACATAACAACACAAAAGTCTAATGCATCTAAACAATTTTTTTTATAGCACGTGCCATAATAAAAGAACCATCTGATAATTGGTTTTTTTTCTAATAAATTAATGAATTTTAGAGAGCGATGAAATTACTTGCTTCTATAACTCGCTTTGATGTAATTCAAAATTAACCTGAGTATTCATGTCCAAAGTCTGATAGTCTGTTGTTATTTGTTCAGATTTTACACTTAGGCGGTGTTGGGATAAAATTTTATGTGTTTAGGGCTTTCATTAATTAGAAATCAAATCACACAATGGCATATGAATGCATAGATTTGAAGAGAAGCATAACGAAAACATTCTAGAAAAAACAAGTTGAGATTTAACGTAGAAAACCCCGAGAATGAAAAAAAAATCACAGAGCCAAACCACCATGAAATTTCTACTTTGAAGAATTAGAAATGTGCAGCATTACTCACTCAAATCTTCTCTTTAAAATTAATAAAACTTGCAAGACTTTGCTCCAAATTTTTATTCTTGATCTCACAATAAAAATTGTATGTTTAAATCCTCCTCCTTGAATCTTCTTTGCTTAACGAGAGTATGTATGAAACACCACACGCGAGTCACAACCTTCGTCACTTGAATCAAAACTTGTAAACCTAATTGGAAGAGAGAACAATTGGCGTGTCTGCGTTAACACTCCCGAGCGAGGGATTTTCGTGTTCTCTAAAACCAAAAGCATAGGTGCTTGAAGTGCGACCTGGGAGATGTTGTAGAACTCGGCGCGAGCACATTCCATTTCGGGAAGAGTGTGCCTTGCTCTATGCCTGCAGGCACGCGGGTGTCATCCAGGCACGGTTACGTCGTGCTAGCTAGAAACGTCTCCTAGGTGCTCCATACTGCTACCAATCAGGCTCCATACATAATAATCTCTAACTGGGAGACTAATTTGCACCACAATAGCTCTTCACCAGATCTTCATCTTCATCTATACCATATTTATAGTCATGTAAAATGGTGTGACTCATCTCTGATATCAAAATTCATGGACTCCAACTGAAGCCTAGCATAGCACTAGCTAGCTCTTTTGTCTAGCACTAACTAGCTCTTTTGTCATCTGGTAATACTATCAAATCTCATGTATGATTTGATTCCGAAGAAAACATTTCATCGTCAATAGCAAGCTCCTATAGTTTTGAAATTCAACTTGAGTGGCCTCCTTAAAGAACTCTTGTTCAGCACTATCAGTTATCAATAAATAGTGTAATAAAGGGGAATAATTGTGTACCAATTGTATCACTCTGTTGAAACTTCTGGCTTCAGTAGCATGTAACAGAAAATTTATTGTGCTCCATTTAGTTGAGCGCTTCTTCTTTCTCTTTTTTTCTAATTACCAGCATCTTCTATCTCAATATCAGCGAGCGCTCTATCTAGTTTGATTTGACTTTAATAGCACATAATGGAAAAACTTGACTTTACTCCTATTCTTATACATCATTTCATTGAACGTGACATACCTGCTCCTGATAAATTTTTTATTATGATAATCCTAGAACTTGTACTCAAACTCGTGTGAGTTATATCTAATAAAGGTGCACTTGATAAATTTTGAGTTAAGTTTCCTTTTGAACCCTACATCAGCAAACACATATAAGAAAACATAAATAAGTATAAATGAGGTTGATTTTCCTTCTTATCACTTCAGGCTTCCTCAGGTAAGTCTTCCTTCAAAGAAATTGAGGGAACACCATTAACTAAATAAACAACAGTGTTTACTACTTCAACCCAAAACTATTTTGGCAAGCCTGCAATCGCCTTATCCTCTTGACACATTTCGTGATTATTCTTTTCATGTGCTCAACTATTACATTTTGTTGTGGAGTTCTTTGGACAGTGAACTCATGCTTGATCCTCTCAATAGCATAGAAATTTCTAAACTTTTGATAACTAGACTTACCCTCATTATTTGATTTGAGGCACTTCAGCCTCAAGTTTGTCTCACTTTTTATCATAGCCTTCCACTTTTAAAATTCTTCAAATGCTTAAGATTTTTGCTTTCATGAGTAAAATCATACATTTCTAGTGTTATTGTCAATAATCATGACAAAACAGTGAAAACCTCTAATTGTCTGAATTGGAGTAGAACCCCATACATTAGTATGCATTAACCCTAGTTTTTTTGACTTAACCACTAATCCACTTTTAAAAAATGAAACTTTCTTATGTTTGTCATATGCAATTTTCACAGAAATCTAAATATTATTGATTTCAAACTTGAAAGTTTATTGTGTGAAAGTTAGGACTTCATACATTTCTTATTCCAGCCACATCAATTAAATTCATCATTTCATTGATCAAGTAAAGCATGTCTTTGATACTGCCTCGAGATATCACCATTACTCCACTAGTCATCTTTCACGAATCACTTGTGAAAGTAGTCACGAACCCTGACTTTGTCAGTTGGCTCATAGAGATGAGATTTCTCTTCAAACTTGAAACATATCTAACTTCAGTAACCTTTCATTATATTCTATTTAACTACTTGACATTCATATTACCCTTTCCTATTATATAATTAGGCCTTATTGTCTCCCAAATAAATATTTTCTAAATCACTATTGGTGTAATTTTTGAATACTTATTTATTGGGGCATGCTTGAAAAAAGACATTTAAATCTGCTATCTAAGATTCATAGCTAATTAAAAATAACACTAAGGAGTCACCTTGAATTTTGACTATGGAGGTTTTTGTAACTAGATTATGTTCTTATCCTTTACCACCAACTTTCCTTGGAGTTTTGCAGTCCTTATTGAAATGTTTTTTCTTTTCACAGTTTCAATATTCTCCTTTGTCATTTTCTCTACTTGACATTGACTTTTCTCTTCTGAACTTGAATTCATCTTAAATTTCTATCTAGGCTTTTTTTCTATTTTTAGAATTCAATGCAAAACTTAAAGGTTCACCATTCACTATCTTTCTGTGAACTTCTTCATTCAACACCAATCTTAACTTCATATTCCCATAAGCATTACTCACCATCATGAAAAATCTATCCCAATTGTCTAGCAATGAAGGCTAGATTAGTAGTAAACTGATCTCATCATCAAATTTGTTCTTTAAAAAACGCAATTGGCTCGTTATAGTGTTAAAATTGTTTAGATGTTTTGCTTCTAAACTGTCTTCCACCATCTTCATGTTGAAAAACCTCTTCATAAGAAAAACCATATCAGAAGTAGAAGATTTTTCGCACAACTTTTTCAGTGCCTCAATGAGATCTGATGTGATTTTCTCATTCAATATGTTGAATACAATAGACGAAAAAAGTTATAAATAATTCAAACCTAGGGTTGTTTAATCTGACACCTCTCATTCCTCCATAGTCATAGACACAAGCTTCTTGAATTTCTTGCAGTAGTAGATAGTGTTTTTATGATACATCAAATCATCCATTTGCTTCCTTCAAAATGTGAAGTTCAACCCATTTAACTTCTCCACTTTGTAGCTTGCTTCATTGGTCATTGCTCTCATTCGAGTTAAAGAACATATACTTTAATACAATTTATTGGGATGAAAATTTACATAATTTTAGGGCTTCAACTAATTAAAAATCAAAATCACATTGTCGAATAGGATCACATACATTCCAGAAATCCAGAAAAAAATAAATGGAACAGTAGCACAATAAAATAATTTCAGAAAGAGAAAACCAATATTTAACATAGAAAAACTCGATAACAAGAAAAAACTATAGAGTCACATCACAAAAAAAAAATTCTCTATAAAAACAAAAAATGTATAGAAATACTCACTTAAATCTCCTCTTGATAATCCATGAAATTATAGGACTTTGCTCAAAACATTTTCTCTTGATCTCACAAGTGAAATTGCACGTTGAAATCCTTCTCCTCGGCTCTTCTCCGCTCCACGAGAATTTTGTTGAAACAATGCACGCGAGAGTCGTAACTTTTTTTCATTTGAATCGAAAGTTTCACTCTGAATTGGAAGATAGAACTACACCTAGCGTTCACGCACCGCTCTTGGAAGCTAAAGTGTTACTCTATTTGAAGATCGGCGCATAGGCATCCAACATGCTTTGTCGGGACACTGTAGACCCCAGCTCGGGTGCATCACGCTCTCTGTCTGCATGCACAGGGGCGTTGTCCAGGTGTAGATTTGTCGTGCCAGAAACTTCTTCCGGGTGCTCCTTTTTGCCATCAATCAAACTCCATACACAACAAGGGGGGTTAGGTAGTGCCTTTTAATAGTATTTATCATCATATTTATGAAAAACAACCAAACAATAAAATATCGTGAATTTATGAATTTTCAAGTTTAAGCTCCAAAATTTTGCTTTTGATTCAGCTTAAGTCTGGATTATGAAATCCAATGAGAAGATGAATTTAATTGATTTACAATTTATGAATTTACTAAACATTTCTAATGCTAAATTCTGATTGCAGCAAAACACCATTGCCTTAGAGTTGTACCTATTGTGAGGCTTTACTTAAATTCTTGAAATAATTATATATATATCTATGGAAAAGTCACTCGATGTTTGAGCCTGAATGAGTCAGTGATGACTTTTGTTTTAATACACTACCAGTCAGCTATTACTCAATGATTTCGTCTTTACACATGAAAAGAATAAAACTAAAATAATGCTTTTTAAAGAATGTTTTCTATCTAATATCAGTGTTCCTGAACTGAATATAATATTTTTAAGCAACCATTTACTGAAATTTTTTGCATTATAATATCATGAGCAGCAACAGCAACAAAAACTGGTGGAAAGACCCGCTGGTGCTGGCCTAGAGGAGATGATAATGGCCTGCACATCAACTAATATAAAACCAGTAAGTCTGACTAGCTTTTACCACCTTCTCATGCTGCTGATTACAGAAATAAATTTGATCTGAATACTCTTTTACTTAACTTCATAATTATTCTGGGGCATTTTGCATAGATACCTCCCAATTCTTATGTATTTATATATCTAACACCTTCAGAATATTAATACTGTTCAACATAGAGAGGAAAGAAGAGAGAATAGTGGTAACAGACAAGAAAACATAAACAATAACTGCAAGAGACAAAGGAACAGTATAACCTCTAAGTACATCTTTTGATTGAAAATTCTAACTATCTAGTGATTATTAAATTTGAAGTGGAACCATGGGTTGCTGACATGAGAGGATTAAATAGGCAAATAAACTATAAAAAGTTACATTTTTCTTTTTTTCATCTAATTTATACATGCTTATATTAGTTTAATTTTGATTCCATTCGACATAGCATGCTAATTTAACAGTTAAATATTATGGGCTTGCAAGTTTGCTGTCAGGAAGATTTTTTTTTAATGGAGGATTTCTATGAAAGCATCCTGTAAATTTCATTTTTTTTTACAGGATTTCAGTTCTAATTAGTAAATAAAGTAAAAGTAGAAAAGAAATAAGAAGATTTAGGTTCCCCAACTTTAAGGCCAAAATAAAACAGAACCTTCCTTTCTTTCCTTTTAGTAATCTCAAAAAGAGCAAATTCAGAAGCTAGTTATCATCATGGTGGTGTGTTCCTACCTTTTGCACTAGGTTTTCACATGGAACAACAAGGAATATGCTTTCAGAATTTATTTTCAAAAAGATAAAGGAAAAGATAAAGACAAAGATAAAGGAGGGAAAAAAAAAGTTATATATTGTATTTGAAGGCCAACTCATCAAACAACTGCAGAATATAATTCCTTGTTTCAGTATCTTAATTAGTATATTTGTAAGTAAGCATTCCTCTAATTATAGATTGCTTTAAACAATATTAAATAAAGAAAACATTAATGATAAAGATAATAGTTATAATTAAGTTGAGTTAATCAGAGCTGATAATATAAACATTAATATTTGTCATCATATATACTAGAGAAAATGTAAAATTATAAAAAATATTATGTGAGACAGTCTGAATGCAGTTACGCCGGCGTGTATCGCACGATAGCCCATCCGGATAGCCGTCAGAATGTGTGGTCAACATACGTAATATTTGCTCCTTTATATTCTCTATGAAAATGGTCCATATATAGAAGATTTGTAATTACTTAACTCTTTTAATGAAATAATAATGGAATGATTTAAGTGCCACTATTTTTTTGCTTCTTTAATAAAGCATGTGCCAAAACTAAAAAAGTAGTCTCAAAAGATTAATATAAGAACTATAGGGGTAGCATCTAGTCAAAATTGGACAATGAAAAGTTAACCTAAAAACCTAAAAATATAAATGACAATAAATATATGAAGTATGAAAAATCAATTTCTAAGTGTTAGGAAGAAAGAATGGTACAGCAGGAAACATCACTTCCACATCCTCAAGAGCCAGAATGGCTGAAGTACTCATATTGGTCACCTGACAGCCATGATCATCATGAGTAATAACAAAGGAGAGAGAAGCCAAGAAAATACATCATCATAAGTACTGGAAAGGAAAATCTTCTCTTAAAGATGAATCAATCGAGGAAAATATATAAAAAGGGCCTCATCTCTCTCTCTCTCTCTATGTGAGAGCTGAAAGCTCAGTTGACGAAGCTATATAATAATAATTCAGGTTGGCATGAAACATACTGTAATGTTGTTACTAGAGAACAAAAGAGAGAAAAGAAAAAAGAAAACAAATTACTAACAGGATTTAATTTCCTTTTGTTGGATTTTTGCTCATTGATTCAGCAGCAGAGTCTCATGTATTTAACTTGTCACATTGTCTCTATCAGAGCTACTCACCAAATTTAAAATTTGTCGTCAACAATCATTCACAAAATTCAAAATAAACGAATGTGATCACATATATGCACGTATGGCCGGCTCATAACCCCCTTTGTTCAAGAAAATGTGATAAAAAAATCATGGTGCAATTACTTTCCAAAAGGCTTGGCCATCTACTTCTATGAAGACTGCAATTAAGAAGAAACATGAATGAACTGGGTCTTTTTAAATTGTTTGTTTGATTGATTTGTTGCTTAATTAGTTTATTAGGCTATTCTCTATATATTTGTCTTTTGAAACTCTATATGTACAAATCATCATGTAACTTTGAATATCAGTGAATAAATTTATTTTTCCTAGTTTCTTCCATGCAATTATATTGGCAGCTTGGAGGCATTCTCTTGTTATTATTGTGTTGTTCTCCCATCCTCTCTGTGTATCAATACCCTTATCTAATTAACCCAATGTCTCTCTCCCACCTCTGATGATTGCCCCATGCAAAAAACATAATCCCTACAAGCCTTTGCCTTCTTCTCCTCCAAACATAATCATAATCAACCAGCCTTTATCATTGATTCCCTTCCATTATTTATTTAAAACTCTTCTTACACCCTATTAGTCAAACTCTAAATTCTCACTTAACTTCGGATCTTAATCCTCAAATGGACTTAAGCTTAAGCTGTCTAATTTTTTGTTAATTTATGACTTAGAGGTCTTAGGCATCATTTTATGTACTAATAACAAATATCTTCATTTCTAAAATAGATTTAATATGTGTAGTTTGGTCTTTTGTTATTTTTATATTTGTAAGATGTTTTTATTATACCTTTTTTTTTTTTGCTAGTCTTTGAACTTAATAACTTTAGGAAATAGCCCTAAGAAGCCCTCATCTCTTTGATACCACTCCCATTGTATAAGAAACAATTGATATTCAATGGCAAAATCTATGAAGAATATTGAAAATTCACCCAAAATCATTAATTTATAATGATTCTTTTTTCCATTAGAAAATTGTTAAAATAAAATTATTATGAATAAAATGTTAAAAACATCAAAAAATGTCTACCACAAAGTTGGGAACCTAGGTGAACCACTGGCAATTTGCCTCTAGAAAACTTTTGTAGTTTAACCGGTAGACATGCAACATAAATTTATTGGTTGCCTAACTAGCTAGTAGAAATGGAACAAGAATTTTGGATAGCCAAATGTTAATAATTTTATTAATTACTATCATTAAAATGCACACCTTAATAATTATTTCATCACTGGCTTATGTTCTTCTTAACAAAAAAATTATTAAAAATCTGTTAAAAAAATTTGACAGCAATTTCTTACTAATTTAATATTATAAGATTTGATAATTGGAAGCTTTTGTACAAATAGATTAACATAATTATTTATGTTGCATGTGCAAGATAAAAAAGGATCATAACTATAATTGTATAATAAATGATACATAGCAAATAATTATAGAAATAATATTAAAATCTTAAAGTTAATATTGCTACTTTAAACATAAAAATAAAAAAGTATAAATTTATAGCTAATTCTATATTTTCCATTTTAGTTTATTTTTCCACCATGCAAGCATTTACTTCATTAGTTAATTCTCGTGGTTAAATTTCCTACTCATCAACATCTTAGCCTTTTTTTTCTATAAAGCTAGATGTGTGGCGCGACTAGGCCTCATATTTTAAAGCCCTATAATTATCTAATTTGTAAGTCCTGCTCTTCTTATTTAATCAAATTGCATGTGCCTATAAATTAAACTCTAATTGTTACATTGATTTATCAGAGGGCTCCTCTTCTGTACAAGTTTGAATTTGTGCATCTCAAAATCATATACAATCTTCTCGTAATAGAATAAAATTATGAAAATCATACTATTCCAATAAATTATATTTTATGAAAATATTTTTAAAATTATATAGTTCTTTTGAGATGTATTATTAATCAATATTGATCCTTATCATTGATAAGTATGTATTTGCATGTGGACTATGAAAATTCATGCCCTAACTTCCCTCTAAATTTGAATAGGTGAGAGTGTTCTTTGTGAGATTTTGAGTTAATTTTTTAGAAGGCATGTTGGATTGTAGATAAGACATTATCCAAAGATTTCATCCTCAGTTTATGAAGGCTTATTCATCTAAGGTTTGAGGTTTACTATAGGCATAGGCCTGTTAGTTAATTGCCCCCCCCCC